GTTCTGGCCATTAGATGTAGCTCGTCTGTGTTGGGACATTCTTTTGAACAGTGGTTGCTCAGACTGAAGAAGTCTCTTGGAGGAGAGACGAAACGTTTCTTCAGAGAAGAACCCATCCAGAAGACCTATACAATTTTTTTCTTTTTGTTCTACTGAATTATTTCACCAGTTCTGTCATACTTGTTTGCTCTTTTTTCTAATTTCAGTGTGTTTTAGTTTGAAAAAACATAAACAAATTAAAAATATAAATATGTAAGCAAAAGTATAGATAGTTTTTAAATTGAAGTTTAAAAAATTGAAGCTTCACACCTTCATATAAACATAATAAATTTGCTTTTAAATGATTGTGAAGAACCAGTTCATTTGGTGATTGGATTGAAACTATTTAACATTTGGAAATACAAAGCATTGGAAAAACATGAGCATTCTGTCATTATAAAAAACTAGGAAATAATTCAGTTTCTGCTGATGTAGATGACTCTGACAGGTAAAAATTAATCCTTGTAAAGCCTGAGGCCATAAAAAAACCTGTATAACTCCGAGTCACATTACTGATCTGCTGGTTGGTCGAGGTTCAGCATCTCAGTCCCAACATCATCATCTTCCTCAGGATCATTTGTGTTGAGAGAGTCATGAGTTCAAAGAGTTTCTCAAACTAACCGGGTTTTAGTTATGGACCYAAAAGGTCTTTATCTTCTGTCTCTTCTGCTGCTGTCTCAAGGAATCCAGCTTGTTGAAGGTAGGTGCTTATGTCTGATTTCARTTTTTTACAATTTTGAGCAAACAGAGGGCAAATACAAAAAACACAACTTGATGTGTAATAGTCAGTAAAAGCAGCATAACATTTATACACTTAGCTTTGCATTCCTGCACCATGTTTTGCTAAAAGTTTGAATCAAGGACATTACTGTCTTTTTAATCACCATATTCAATGCAAAGCAATAAAAAAGAGAAAAAGGACAGTTTAATGTTACTTTGAATAGACTTGGATGCTTTATAAATATATTTGCAAATTCTGCTCAGAGTAAGAAAGTAAYTTTTGATGAAGAAAAATGTAAACATAACATGCAGATACTTTATAGTTTTTGTTGTACAGCTCTATATGTATGTATGTATGTATGTATGTATGTATGTATGTATGTATGTATGTATGTATGTATGTATGTATGTATGTATGTATGTATGTA